TATATATATAATATATATAATATATATATATATTTTAATATATATATATAAAAATATATATATATTATATATATAATATATATATAATAATATATATATATAAAAATATATTATATAATTTTATATATAATATAAATATATATAATATATATAATTATATATATATATATATAAATATATATATATTATATATAAATATATATATATATATATAAAATATATATATAAAATTATATATATATAAAATATATATATATATATATATATAATATATATATATATATATATATATAATATAAATATATTATATATATATATATATATATTATATATATATATAAATATATATATATATATATATATATATATATATTATATATATAAATATTTTATAATAATATATATATATATATATATATATATATATATATAATATATATATATATAATATATATAATAATATAATTATATAAATATATATATATATATATATAATATATTATATATATATAATATATATTTTAAATATATATATATATATATATAATATATATAAATATTATATATATATATATATATAAAAAATATATATATATAATATATATATAATAATATAAATATATATATATATATTTTATATATATATATAATAATATATATTACATAAGATTAAGAGATACATTGTTGATATAAAGGTGGCATATACGGTATATGTTGTTACGTATCACCGATTATAAGGCGAAAATCTCATCCAGCTCCTCAGAGCTGGGGCGTGTGCCCAAAATACAGCAGGCATTACCCCTTTGAACAGCCTCACTGAGCCGCTGGAACAGAAAACTAGCTGCCCTGGGATCCCTAGTTACCCTGATGAGTCTTTTTCCCAGCTCCTTAAGGAATTTAGATGCATTCTTTCCCCATGAGCCTAGGATCTCCGAGCCTATGGCAACAAACATATAATGATGGGTAAGTTCTCCATATTTTCTAGACTTTTGGGACTCCTTGAAGCTGGCAGCTTCCCCTCCTTACTCCCTGGCGTATTGGAGATAGGTATCAGCCAAGGTAGATGCACATGTATAGTCCCACACCACCTGCTTCCCATCTGTCCAGGCTTGAAGGGTGATACCATCTGGACGCTTCTGGCTGCCATCAGATCTGCATAGCTGGGGTGACTTCCTTACTGCTGGGCATCCGGCTGTTGTGAGGCTCCTCTTGATAATGTTATTAACCTCCTCATGTCTTGCAATCTTTCCCTCGGATTTACGGCACACAAGACCGTGGTACCCGAATCGGTCTGCTGCTTCACTGCCACAAATACACCTGTGTTCGGCGAGAATAGGGGCGGCAAGTCGAAGGGCAACACCGATGTGGATGGTCTGTGGGTCGAGGCGTGTGCCAAGGCTGGAGTTGGGAACAGCCAACAGAAAGTCCCCAGTATGAGGGGCTCTCACTGCCAGGAGGTGGGGTCTATCCTTCCCTGACACGCTCTGAAGCATTGTTGAGGCTATATTTTCCACTATTGGACCATCCCAGTGTAGTTGTTGGGGGGAGCAGGTCTGGTTTCAGAGCCCGTTAGATTACCCCAGATCATTGGTCCGTCAATGAATTTTTGGTCCTGGACTCCAATCTTGTCCCTAAGATGTTCAGGGAGAATCGCTGCTACAAGCCCTCTGGATGCAATACATGAGGACAGAAAAGCAGGTAGCGCAATCTGTGATGACTTGCGGACACCAATGTCTCCTAGTCTGACTAGAAGTGTAGCTTGGCTCCATTGCCCGTCTTCTAGAGTAAGGTTAAGTACTTTCGTAAAAATATGCCTCAGGATACTGTCAAATTCGTGCAGTATAGGGTTATCATATGAAGGTGCACAACTTAGGAAATATGTCAACCTGGGCAGACTCAAGCACTTTGTGAGAAGGTACAAGGCATTGGGTGTACAGATTGCCTATTCGTTGTTCCATTCTCCTTAACTCTTCCAATTTCTTCCTGAGAATTGTGTCAATGGCATTGCTTCCCAGAGGTGCTCCTAGCAGGACACTATTTGTGGGGGCAATGACTGCTGCTCCTGGTAGTTTTGACCTCACTGCATTTATCACTTGTTGATTGACTGAGATGATTTCACATTTGTGATTATATATATATATATATATATATATATATATATATATATATATATATATATATATATATATATATATATATATATTTTATATATATATATATTATATATATATATAGTTTAAACCTTTATTACCGAATTTGTGTTGTGATCAGCAATATAAATTTTAAAATACGTTGCATATATTTCTTTAATAAAAAAATTAATGACACTGGTGTGTCTTTAATAATCTGTCTAATTCTACACTCTGCACCTGATAAATTTTATACACTTTTTCTTATTTTCTGTAATTTCGAGGACCGGGCTACACCCTACACTGCTTACAACCAGCTGTACTGATCACAAGCCGCCACGGCCATATCATATCTTCTCTTGAATCTCTGTATGGCGTTTGTCTCCGCCACATCTTACTCTGATTCTTTCCACTTTCTACCCAGAGACTTTAAGAAAATATTTCCTAAAGTTCCTGTGTCACATCTAAGTCTTCAGCTGGCATTTGTCTCCCATGGCTACCTTTACTCATACTCAGTGTTTCCCTACCTGCCATCCCTACTCCCCAAAGTACTGTGCATGTCATTACTATATCCCTTCTGGTCCTCCTCACTTCTAGCCATGTTAGTTCCTCAAGTCTCTGTTAGTAAGCCTCCTCAGCTCCGGTACTAGTCTCGTCGCTAACCTCTGACTTAATTTTTTTTTCTTTAACAATGAAATGGCGACTTCATGATGGCACTGCATGGTAAAGGCTCTTAAACATTTCATGGTTAACGTTCTTAAAAGATGTTCTAAGGTTAGTTAGTTACTTTTGGCCATGTCTGTAAACATGTATGCTTAATGTTTGGTGCCGGTGACATGCTCAGTTGATACCTCCAAATATTCCTCCTCATGCAATGTCTGTGAAGTCCTTCTCACGCTGCATCCTATTTCTGAGATCTTATTTCTCATTCTCTGCATCCCCTGGTTTCATTACTTTGCATTATTAGTTTTGAATTCCAACAGCCACTTGCTTGATCGCATTCGCAGTCCGCTCACTTCTTACAGCTTCTTCCTGTTTCGTCCGGTTATCCCAAGTAGCTTCACTTCAGCAGTGATACGCAGAATTAAATTTCCTTTGGCCGGGCCTCTATGCTTGTAAAGAACAGTAATGAGAAGTCCACTCATCACTCGTGTTCATTCTGATCCTCTTACTATCACCTTGTACCTTCTATTCATCAGGCACTTCTCTATTCTTTTGAAAAGTTTCCTTGTTGTTTCTACCTGTTCTTCCATTTTATATACGTGATTACCGTCTATCCATCGCTATCTTTCCTGCTTTATTTCCGTGAATGTTATAGAAGTCTATCAGACTGAAAGACAGAATTTGGCATCAACCAATCCATGCTGAAAGTTTTTGTGTATGAATGTCGTTTTAGGTGTCCAACATTTTATCATCACTTTTCTCATACACTAGTGAATATGTTCGTCAGTGATACTGCTTCATTTGCACTGTTTTATTTTTATTGTCCTGGCATCATATTTACAAATTTCCAACTTTTGGAAGCTCTCCAATTTTCTTGGTTTTTCATTTATCTCTGCTGCAGGTTGACAGTTCCTCTGGAGACCCACACCGATACCTTGCCCAGCAGTCACAGTGGGTTTTTTTTTCACATTTCTTAAATTATCTATAAACACTTGTCACTTCTCTCTTTTGCCTAACTGTTTATTGTTTAAGAAATCATCGCCTTTGAGGCTCGATCTCATCCCAATCCTGGTTAAAGACTTGATCAGTCAGGCTGTTGGGGGTTTGCAGCACACAGGACTTCCGATGCAGACATCAGGTTTGGAGGAACTTATCAAGTTAGTTCTTGAAGATAGTTAAGGTATGTTAGTAATTACCATTATATGTTAAGGAAGCTTGAAAGTCTTAAATCAGTTATAATTAGCTAACTGTATCTATATTTTTACCCCTCTGCTTTTTAGATTACTGGTAGCACCTTACAATATCTTCCTTACCTTCTACTATCTAAAAGTGCTATTCCATTGTGAAGATTTGGAACCAGAACCTCCATTATTTTACCAGGTGTAAATTACAAGAACTCTCCCTTACCCCCGTGTTTCAGGAATATATTCTGGTATTCTTACTAATTTTGGGTTAGTGAAAGTTTTCTGTACTACTTGCAGAAGTGCAGTTTTACCTGCTAGTGTATAGCAATATTCCAGTCTAGAGATTATAAACATAAGTAGCCTTGGCTTGTCCTCTCTGTTTTGAAAGTTTTTGTTGGCCAGCCTATCACTTGCCTCGTAGATGTTACTTGTTTATTACATACTATTATGTTCACGGGGAAGCACTAAACCCGTAATCATACAAGTATTCATGTTTGATGCCAGGAAGGGAAGGATAACAGATTCCTTGTATAAAGAGTCCTTCACCAGTATCAAGGCACCCTCCCCTTTAATTAAAGGATCATCTGACTGCCCACTCTGTTATGTTTCGGTCTTTTCTTTCTAAAACTTTCCATAGCGGAGTAAGTGAATTTTATTTTGGTTATACCTCATAGTGGTTTATGTGGTCCACTGGAAGATCTGGGTTAGGATGTCTTGAAGGTCGTGTGACAGAGCTGCTTCACCCACACGGGCGAACCAGCGCTTCCCATGAATATAATAAATGAAAGTTTATTTCATCTTCAACATATGACCCTCAAATAATTTATAACACTAGAGAAGGGGATGAAGGGAGGGATATGGGAGGCGGAAGGGCAGTCGACATAAAGGGAAAATGGAAAAGGAAAACAGAGGTGGCAGATAAATAAAGGAAGGGAAAGGAGGAATGCAAGTAGAGAAAGGAGGAAGGTATTTAGAGAAAAAGGGTTAAGTGAAAGCTTAAGAGAAGTCAAGTATTAACCCCCACCTCTGCAGCATCTGAGGTAGTTGGCCACTTCCTTGTGGAGGCGGCTAGCGTTGTTCTGTTGTCTGCTGAAGTTGATTTCGTAATCATCAAAGACATCGTCTACCGTTCGGTCTGCCTTGCCTAGGTTCTGCAAGATCTGCAACACAAGACAACACCCTTTAATACACCCGTGTTATTATTATTAATCAAACAGTACTATTATTAATAGTATCACAAATCATTGTCATAATTACAATCACTCATCACAATTATCGGTATAATTATCAACATTGGTCACCTCTATCGTATTGCTCTGATCACAACACTACCGTCCTGTCATGTGACAAATTGAAGCCTGTTAAATAGTTTACACTCTGGCAAGATTTATGGTCTTAGTTTTTGCCTCACGAACACTTATGATGGCAAGTCATCCTTAAAAATTTGTACTTACATTCATTCAGTATACATGTATGCCTCCTGATAGTTCTTATTCCTGTTGTTTCCTGCAAATTTGGTAGGCCTGGTGTGAAAGCGGGGGCCATAACAATCATCACAAACTCTTCACCAAGCAATACAAACACTACTTCCATAATAATATATATAATTATATTTTAACTAATGCATCGGCTGCTTCACACACACTGTACTCGGTATTAGAATGTTGAGAAACGAACCAGACACTGTCACAGTGAATCTTACCAAGTGTCTAGAGGTAAATACACACAGATCTAAATGGATTGTGAAAACGTGCAATTGCATTAAGTTTTATAACCTGCATGAACTGTATCACTGTAGGCAACAAGAGTATTTCACCCCTCCATGGAAGATGTGTTCATTTAATATCACATACGTACAAGTCCCTCCCAAGAAGCTCATTGCTAGTAATCCCTTCCTTAAATCTCTTGTTAGAGCAACTGCTCAAGAAGAAATTTTTCGCCTAGCTGGTAGTAATAAGTTATCACAAGTTATATACACTGATGGATCTAAACAGGAGTCTTCTGGCAGGGCTGCATCTGCTCTTGTTGCCACCTCCCTAGTTAAGAACGATAATAAATTTGTTGAGTTAGGCATAAGAATTAACAACTGGGCGTCTACACTGCAAACTGAATTGTTTGCAATCCTAATGGCGCTAAAGCTAACCTATGACACTGAGCTTGACTCTATCATCATTACTGATTCTATGTCATCATTGAAGGCTCTTGGCTCATATAATGACTCCAACAACATGCTCATTGGGGAAGCCAGGTATAGATACTCAAAAATTAGGGACAAAGGAATTAATGTACAATTGCTATGGATCCCATCACACATTGGATTACTCCTTCATGATAAAGTTGATATGTTAGCCAAGAAGAGTATCCAGAAGGAGAACGTAGAATATAACTTTGGTATAACTGTGTCTAGCATTAGGAATAATATTAGGAGAGAAGTAAATAATGAAGATGATTGTTATAGGAATGCAGTTAGAAGCCTGAGTAGATCTATAACCCACTATGATAACATGAACGTAGATAAGTATGTTTATGGAGCAACTTGCAATGTGAACAGACTGACTGATGTTGTAGTGGCCAGGCTTAGGCTTGGTTACAAGTACTTCTGGCAGTTTGGGAGACACACAGATGATGATCAAACTAAATGTAAATTATGTGATCAGGCATATGGTCACTCTCTTGAACACTATGTGCTTAATTGTCCACTTATTGAGGAATACAGAGACAGACAGTATAATAACCTATGTGACATGTCAAGATATCTTATTAATGAAAATATGATACCAGATATACTAAGCAAATTTCCTAAATTTGCTTGTAACAGATAAGTGAATTATAGATATGTAGATATAAATCCATATGTATTCCTGTTAACCCTTTGGGGCCTAGTTCCTAGGCCTTTTGTGTATCCACATGCTCTCGCGCTACCGTCCACAGGATGGATATGGGGTGCACAATAAACTAGCCACTTCGGTGGCAAAATCTAAAAAATCTTCACACACAAGATTTATTTCCTGAAGTGCAGACATATCTTGATCTGAGCGACCCATCAAATCACAACATTACCTACCCACCCCACCTTCAGTATTCTGCAGAGTACGGGCACTGAACAAGTCAGAGTGGCGGGTGAAAGATTCGACTGTAAAACTACTAAAACTGCCTCTAAACAACAAGGTTCAGGAGCGCAGAGACAGGTATCACTCTTATTAGACAAAAAATAGAGCCCTAACTACTACCACTTAAACAAAAATACATAAAATATTAACCCACTGTTCCTTGAGCTTACTGACCCTAACTAGTTTACCTCCTCACAAAAAAAATCATTCTTGATGTGGTGGGACTGATACGGGGTACAGGGAAGGAATATTAATGGTGTGAGAGTTGCATAAATCCACCTGAGTGTGAAGCCAAATGATGAGGAGATCTTGGTGAAAGCTGCCTCAGTGAGTTTTACTAGTCACTAGCATCTTGCCTTCACCCCCCCCATCCCCTCCCCTACTGCTCGACCCACACCTGTGGACCCCACTCCATACATACAAAATACATACATAGCACTATCATCAGACCACACACATCAGTATACCTTTCACATACCACTAGCACCAAGCCACACAAATCATCATACCCTCCAAGGTGATAATCAATACAATATCCAGTCTTAGCTAAATAAGAAAGGTTCAGTAGTGCACGGTACTGCTCGAGCACCATTGCGACTCGGAGATACAGGGTACAGTCATGGTACCTTTGCTGTCCCCCATCATGATAGCAGGCATACTAAAATATTAAGCCCAAAATGGTGTCATCTTTTACCAGGTACACCAAAGTAAAGATAAAAGATGTCCTTCAGAAGAGTTTTCTTCCTCACAAAATGCGTCATATACTTACTGATACAAACGTTGCTTGGGTTCTACAGGATACCATCCCAGACGCTTGTGGCTCAATATACCTTTCTACAGCCTTATGTCGCCTATTAAATTTAACATTTCTGCTGCTATACATAGGAAACTTGCAGAAATTGAGGAGGAAGACTGCATAACAAAACAGAGGATGTCAAACAAACTGGGTTGTCTATGAGAATAACATCCCCGCCAAGAAGTGCAGACACGTGTTAGACCATCCCTCCCCCTCCCCCTCACCCCAGCAAGACCTCATAGTCCTGACCCACAACGCTGTACTTTGCTGTACTTTCTCCTAATCAGTTAATACTACTGGGCCACCTTCCAACGCACGTACGCAGCAGGCGAACACGCACAGTGAGCTGGAGCTCGACATCCCGAAACTTTCCCTCACCACATTGAGAAAGGGAGAGGGGGATAGAAAAAAAAGAGAGAAAATGAGAGGAAGGATGGAAGTGGTGTAAAAGATGGTGGTGGGTGGTTCGATGGTGGTGGTGGGTGGTTCGATGGTGGGTAGTTCTGGGAGGTGCAGGCAGTACTACTTATCTACTACCCAGAGTACACCCCTCTTTACCTAGCAGCAAGCAGGTACCTGGGTGTTAATCGACTAGTGTGGGTGGCATCCTGAGGGGTGGTAGTACATCTTACATAGGTCTGGACTTGAAAATGAAATGAGGTAGGCTAACAGCTCTTCGCCTGTAAAATTTATTTCTGTAAAACAAAAAAAATCCTCCAGACAATCCGTGTCTTAATAAGGAGCGTCCTTGTGGCTACCCGATGCTTCACTGCCACCAAGAGTAGCCAAACAGGGTGGTAGGTCTGGCAACACATCACCACGATGTGCTCGTCACACAAATGGACATTAACAAACAACTTTTCCAATGCAAAGGTAGTGAAAGTTGGAACTAGAGATGGTACGCAAGATCTACCTGCTACCTGGAGGGTATTCCGGACATCAACGCTCCCTCGGCCCGGTTCATGACCAGGCCTCCCGGTGGATCAGGGCCTGATCAACTAGGCTGTTACTGCTGGCCGGACGTAGTCCAACGTACGAACTACAGCCCGACTGATCCGGCACTGACTTTAGGTATCTGTCTGGCTCCCTCTTGAAGGCAGCCAGGGGTTTATTGATAATTCCCCTTATGCTTGGTGGGAGGCTGTTGAACAGTCTTGGGCCCCGGACACTTACTGTGTTTTCTCTTAGTGTACTTATGGAGCCCCTATTTTTCATTGGGGGCATGTTGCACCATCTGCCAAGTCTTTTGCTTTCATAGGGAGTGATTTCTGTGTTATAGATTAGGGACCAGTCCCTCCAAGACTCTCCAGGTGTAGATTATGGTGCATCTTTCTCGCCTGCGTTCCAGTGAATACAAATCAAGTGCTTCCAGGCGTTCCCACTAGTTAAGGTGTTTGACGGAACTTATATGTGCAGTAAAGGTTCTGTACATTCTCTAGATTTGCATTTTCACCTGCTTTGAATGGAAATGTTAATGTACAGCAGTATTCCAGCCTAGAGAGAACAAGTGATTTAAAAAGGATCACCATTGGCTTGGCATCTCTTGTTTTGAACTTTCTCATTATACATCCTATTATTTTCCTTGCAAATGTGATAGTGGCATTGTTGTGACGCTTGAAGGTAAGATCCTCAAACATTACCACATTACTTTTCCGCTCTTTTGTGTGAATAGAGTTTGTAGTATACTCAGTATTTCCCCCATTTTTCCATAACGGAGTAGTTGGAATTTGTCTTCATTGAACATCGTATTGTTCTCCGTTGCCCATTGGAAAACTTGGTTTATATCTTCTTGGAGATTTGCCGTGTCCTCAGTGGATGACACTCTCATGCAGATCCTAGTATCGTCTGCAAAGGATGATACGGTGGTATGGTTTACATCTCTGTCCATGTCTGATATGAGGATGAGGAACAGGATAGGGGCGAGTACTGTGCCTTGTGGAACAGAGTTCTTCACTATGGCAGCTTCCGATTTAACTCTGTTTACCACCACTCTTTGTGTTCGACTGGTTATAAAGTTGAAGATCCATCTTCCCACTTTGCCAGTCATCCTTTCAGTACGCATTTTGTATGCTATTCCACAATAATCGCACTTGTCAAAGGCTTTTGCAAAATCTGTGTATACTACATCTGTATTCTGTTTATCTTTCAGTGCATCCAAGACCATATCATGGTGGTTCAGTAGTTGTGAGAGGCAGGATCGACCTGCTCTGAACCCATGCTGCCCTGGATTGTGCAACTGTTAGGAATCCAAGCG